ATTTATAGCCTACAATCTAATGTTGAATATTGCAATCACACTGAAAATTAGGATTTTCAATGAAACATGCTGTTTGTGATCAAAACTGAGCACAAGTCAGCTCTGGCGACAGCCAGGTGTTTCCCATCGTGTCCTGAATCTTGCAGTTGGAGGAGAGCGCTCTAAAACCTGCAACTGCCTCGACCTTGTGAGGTTATGACGTCAGAGCAAGTCAGCATCAAGTCAGACACAAATCTAACCAGCATGCATTCAGTGATTGATTCTGCACAAGCCAGGCTCATCTGGAACGAGCCAATGGTCCGTGCCACCCCAAGCCACTCCCTTGAGTTCAACGGCATATAAACATACAGTATCTGCAAATGTCACTTTGGTCAAGTTAGATGCTGATGTGGTTCTTACTCTTCAAAATGAGTGCTTATAACAGACTGTCTGCCCATGACATGGCTACGGCAGAAGTTTGTTATGCTTGTTCGCTATGGTGTAACACCGGTACTCTGGCAGCCTGTCAGCTGTTGCAAATAAATCAGTTTGTGTTCAGTTGGTGTCAGTGATTTACGATATGTGGCTGTGATAGAGACACATATAACTATCAATACTATCAAATCTATAGTTTATATGATTTTCTGTTAGCATGCACCTTTAAATACAGGCTCCTGGTATATTTTATGTGTATGTGTGTGTGTGTGTGTGTGTGTGTGTGTATATGTAAGAGAGATGACTTGAATGAGTTTGAATGAGAGCTATCTGATGACATCACCAGCTAAGTGCATCTGCAGAGAAGCACTGCCTCCCACCTCCGCACTCACATGCACTCATATATTAAGTGGTCAAAGCTGTCAATATCATGGCTGACGTTTATTTTTTACTAACTAGCTTCCAGCTATAAATTATTGTGTTTTGCAGGCATTGTGGCTGTGATAGAGAATTTGTAATGTTAATGAAAATGTACTCTATTTGAATAAAAAAGCAATTTGACACTTAGCATCAGCGTTAACCGTGGAAATGGTATAGGATTTGACTATATTACACATCTCTGCATTATTCTGTTCAGTGGATGATCTAAATCTGTTGTCCTGATGACTGACTGCTCTGACACACCAAAGATATAAAAGTCAGCTGGTGTGAGTGTGCGTGTTTCTGTGTTTGTGTGTGTAAATGTGTGTGTGTCTGTATGTGTGTATGTTGAATTGCTCCATCTTGCTTCCTGGTATTAACCAGTGTGCCATCTGTTGAGGAGGCGAGGCAAAAGAGTTGACATTTGAAGAACATGCAGCACCAGAACAGGCGAGACCATGGTGGAAAGCATATCAGGCTAGGCTAAACATTTAGTGCTGAAACGATGTATTAATAAGTAATTATCATGTTTAAAATGAATCAAATAATAATAACTTTTGTTATTTAAGTTATTACTTTGATGTGCATTCAGTCTAATTGCTTCCAAACTGATAACAATACCATTGCTTGGCTCACCATAGTTATAACCACAATTCACTACATTTTGAACAGAATGGTATTGTCCAACGTGTACGTTCCATCCTTATTGTATAACAATGTTGCCTTTTATACAGTCTGTCAAATAAAGTGGGTATGTTTGAGAGACTTAATTGTCGCCTGTATTAAAACAAGCAATGACAAGCAGAAAACACTGAGTCATGGAATACTAAATATGTCACATGGTCACATTGCTGTGAAAATAGAAACACAGATTGAAGTAATTGTTGTCACTCTGCTTATCAACTGGCTGTTTCAGCATTGTGATTGCTGACCTCTTTGTTTTTCTCCGTTCCAGGGTTTCATCGCAATGAGGATATGAAGGCCATTGATGTACTTCCCATCCTCAAGGAGAAGGTTGCCTTTCTCTCAGGTCAGATATATACATTTACAGTATATATTGCTAATATATAATGATATTGTCACTATACTCATCTGCCATTCACACTTTTTTTTTAATTAAGAGGAGTCATGACCAAACCAGAGTTGTGTGTTGGCACAGTTGCACCTCAACCAGTTTTAAATTTGGATTTTGTTTCAAGTGTAGAATTTCAGAAATGCTGTTTATAAAGAACAGTTGAAGCCTCTTTAACAATCTCATATTGGCCTTGACCTTAGATGAGCTTGTTAAAATGTCAAACCCTTTCCTTTACTTGTTTGAAGGAATTTTTGTATCCTTATACTGCTGCAGAGACCTTGCATTTGAGTGTGTTTTGTGTCATTCATTTGTTGTTGTGTTTACACTGTGAAACAGATTTATCAAAAGAAACATATGCTTAAAGTGAGGTAAAGTCATCAAATTATTTAGACAGAAGTGGAGAATTCAATCTCAGTATGCTTAATTAAGTGTCAGAAACATACACCTTTTGTTTTAGCATAAAAGAGTTCTGCAGCCATGCTCTTCATCAGTATAATAACACAGTCAACACAGTTAACACTTTTTGTTGAAAATTCAAGCTTCTCTTTCCATGATTTTTACTTTTAGGTTATTTAAGCACACTCACTTATTTATCTGACATGTTTCTGACTTGTCATGGTGCTGATCTTTACCCTATTTGTGCTAACTGCATGGGCATTGCCACAATTGTGAGTTTGCGAGAGTGTTTTTCTCTGATCATAAATAAGTAGTGTTGTTTGTTACTGCAGTGTGACTGAAAGGCCATTACTAGTCTTGTCATCATGAGACTAATTTGAACCCTGACTCTTCAGTTTGACTCAGTATAGTCATGACTAACTGCAGAAATATTCACAGATGGTACCCATACAAATTAGCTGCTGTCATCTCAGAGAACTAGTGCACTCACGTGACATCTTTTTGGTGTAGTATTCTGGATGTATGGTTATATAGTCCTTTGTGAACTGGAGTAAGCAATTGAAAGTAAAATAACTGTCTATTAAAATGTCAGTCTGTTGAATTAGCTTTGCCATTCTACAGTATATGAGTGTTATTTACATATGAAGCTGTTATTTAATGACTTTTTTGTCGTCTGATTTCTTCCCAAAGGTGGCAGAGACAGACGTGGAGGTCCTGTTCTCACTTTTCCAGCACGGAGCAACCATGACAGAATACGACCTGAAGACCTGCGCAGACTCATAGCCTACCTGGCTACTATTCCCAGGTTGGAAATGTATTTTCAAACACACATATACAATACACGTGTTTCAGTGGAGGATTCTTATTCAAACTGTGAACCTGCATACAAACTCATATATGCACATATATGACTTATAGGGTTTATTTCTAACAGACTCTTGGCCTCTTATAAAATCACACTCACAGAAATCACTTTATTTGTGTCAGACTTTCCTACCTTGCTTGGGTGCTGGGATGTTTTTATTTCCTGATAACTCTCTAGAAACAAGCTACAACTCCTTTATCTAGGTTACCACTTTTTGGTAAGTCTCTCCTCTTTCATTCTGCTATTGATATTGTGTAGAGTGGGTCAATTCCGAATAAACAAAGTGTTGTGTAGATTGCCACTTTTCTCGGCTGGGTTTTCTTTCCTGTTTCCCTGTTTGCCCTGTATTAACGCATGGTGTCTAAAAACTGCTGCAGGAAGCATATAGCCACAGGATGTCCTTGCAGAGTCGCACTGTCTATAGTTCTGTGCATGCTGGTGTTCAAGTCTAAAAGTACCTTTCTTTCACATTTACCACTTAGCTCCAGGCTGTTCTGTTTGGACCCAGTTGTGATTAGCTTGGAGGGAATCTTGAACTCCTTTGTTCTGCTGCTTCTGATCTCCTCTGTGCTGCGCTTTGTAGTGCTTTGCAGGTCTAGTGCTTTAAGTCTTTTTCAAAGTAGAGTTTGGTGATTTGTCTTGAGGTAAGAGGTGGGCCAGATCAGATAAGGCAAAAACTGGGCTCAGGGCTCCTTTCTGGGATGTCAGAGGTAGGATCAAAATACTCAAATATCTGCATTCTTACAGCAGTATTCAGTATAATGCAAATCTTTGTATATTAGATAGTTTGCACGTGTGATTTACAGTCCAAGAACAAACTATTAATCAGATGATGACCCCTGGAACAAATCTAAATGATGTAACTGAAGGGTTACAAGAACTCTTTTACTGTTTATTTTTGTATTTTGGTTTGCTGCTAGTTGGTGGCTAGTTGGTGTTCAAGCTGAAAAAAACATGTTAAAATGTGTTCTTTATCTTGAAACAGACCACCTTGCATTTTGCATTACTTTTCTTCCTATGTTCCATAATAATACAATGTATTAAAACATAAAAAATATGTATGTATATATGTATCAGAAATATTTATTTTTAATGATAGTAATTTTCTCTGAAACTATTATTTGATGATAACCTGACTTCACCAGATGGTTTGTTACACAGAATCATCATGGAAAAGCATTTTTGGAAACTGTATGGAAAAGGTCAGGGACATTAAACAAATACCTGGCAGGTGATTGGATAAACATCTGTTTATCACGTTGTATCACAGGCAAGCTTCAACTAATCAGATCAACAAACCATATGACATAGTCAAACTACCAAAGCCAGTCGAAGGAATAGCGAAAACATCTTTTTCATCTTCAGTGCCATTCTTTGCTCTTCTTTCGATGAAAAAATACTCTCCAGTTCTTATGTTACTGAGCAGCATCCATGCTAACCTCATACACTTAGAGTTAAACCACACCCCTAGCTGCCAGTTGTTCCAGTAGTTCCTTATCCGATGCTGTTTGGACACAATGCTTAGCTTGAAACCTGGCAGGATGGATTCTTGTGTGATCTCTTGATCTCGCAAGTCCAGCTGCCTAGCAAGGTTAATATGGTGCAGCAGTAAAAGACAAGTAGGTTGCTGTGAATCAGATCAAGACTTACAGGCCTCCAAAAAGCTCAACTGTTAAGAGGTAAGACAAGAGAGGAGAAAAGATCTGTGGACAGCCATCCAGTCTGAAACTTAGAAGGAGCCAAGTGTCACTAACTCAGAAGGAGGTCAGCTTTTTCTCCTCAGCTTGATTTCTCTGTCTCTTGTCTAAATATTTCTTCTGTCTTTCCCCCTTTTTCTGTTACATCTGCCTCTCCCTCCCTCTCTCCCTCTCTCCCTTCCTCTCTCCCTCTCCCTTTCTCTCTCCTCTCCCTCCTCTACACTCTGTTTTTCTCTACCCATTTGGCTGCCGATCTGTTTTCAGAGAGTGAGGTCAGAGTGAGTTAGAGCAGGAGGGCCTGCGTCTGTTTCTGTCTCCTAGCTAGACACATTCAGATTAAAGCCTTTAACACTGAGAAACAACCTTTTATGGACTTATACAGCAGCAGGACTCCTGGTAAGCAGCAGTGGAAATTTCAACGCTTCAATGTTTTAACTATTTTTTTCCTCCCTAGATGCTCTGGAGATTTAAATGGGATCGTTTGACTTTAAATCTTTTTGGCATCTTTGCAGTTACAACAGACCTTTTACAAAATTTACAATGAGTCTTTTTAGTTTTTTTTTTTTTGGCTTTTGAGTGTTTCTATTTCTGTTACATGGGCGGCTACAATAATGTGACTTAATAGTTTGACACTCTTTTAGCTGATCAAGTTTGTTCAGTCTCAAATCAATTACATCTGATGGAGTTTGCCCTATTGTTGCCACTTTTTTAGACAGTCTTCTAAGCTGCCCTAAGGGTTTGATGTTTTCATACTAAAACCATGTAAAAGTAATGCATCTTCTCATGTGTTAACGTGCTCCTTATCATAGGATCTGACCTCTTTATTCATGTTTTCTGCAGCGAGGAGGTGGCCAGACATGGCTTCACAGTCATTGTGGACATGCGTGGTTCTAAATGGGACAGCATCAAGCCTCTGCTGAAGATCCTTCAGGAGTCTTTCCCGTCTTGTATCCACGTCGCCCTTATCATCAAGCCAGACAACTTCTGGCAGAAGCAGAGGACCAACTTTGGCAGCTCCAAGTTTGAATTTGAGGTGGGTGACACTCTGCACACTTTAACTACTACTAATACACAAAACTAATCCTTTTTTCAACATTTTCAGCTTGCTTTCTGTTATTGTGGATTTTCTACATGAACGTGTTATAGTCTCTTAAGTATTTAAAGTTTTATTATGTTCTACAAGAAATAGAGATATTGGTTGTGCTAATCGATATCTCTATCTCCAATATAACATCAATTTATTTTAAAATGACAATTTGTTGTAAGCTATTAGAGTTTCTGTTCATTTAGCATAGCCATCGGTCTTAATTTATCAACTCTAATTGGACTGCTGCTTGGTGACAGTGGCACTGTTCTGTCCCGTGTGGGCATGTGGTGCTGGTATATTTAGTCCTGACCCAGTTACTATGGAAACAGGTTATATAGGACATGGCGTAGCATTTTATCCCAACACTAGTGAGCTGGGTTTGGACAAGCCACTTGTTTTTTTATGATGATGTCAAAAATGTACTGTATGTGAGTAAGACACAATTATAAGCAGGAGGTCACTGGTTTGAGTCTCTGCCTGCAAAGTTCGAGATGGGGGCAGTGATCAAGATGTCTACTCCTTTTCCTCATCAAGCACTATTGAGATTTTCAAAACTGCTGCTTATCTATTCCTGTAAATGTGTCTTACTTTGCTTGCGGTTCAAAAGAAGCTAAGCCTCCAGTTCACATTCACTCACTCATGCTACTCAGAGAACCAGGGTTACGCAGGAAAGTTATTACAGCATCTATACAGGCAGGCAGATTTCAGTCCCATATGAGACTTTATTTTGCATTTTCATTGTGTTTTCCCTTGCTCTGTTTTTACTTCCTAAGAGTTTATATCTGTATATTTCCAGCTTATTAATGATAACATGAATGCTGCTTAAAATGTCTGGAATGTTGTTGTTTTTTGGTCACCCCACCTTTCTAAACATTAGACATGTGGAACCACTGACTTTGCACATTCTTTTCATAATCTAGGTTTAACAGTGGGAAATATTTTGACAAGTTAACATTTGATTAGTCTGGAATATGGAGACAATGATGACTGAGATGATAAATTAATTGTGGTGATCTGTTTCGTTCATCCTCCCTTTATCCATTCTTAATCTTTTTCATTTTTCTTTTCCTGCATTCATCCCTCCTCCACCTCATCTATCTCTTTGTTGTCACTTCCGACTTCATTTGTCCTACATAACCCGCACCAGACGGTGATGGTTTCCTTGGAGGGTTTATCCAAGATTGTGGACCCATCCCAGCTGACAGCTGATTTTGAGGGCAGCTTAGAGTACAACCATGATGACTGGATTGAGGTTTGGATATTTTTACTTTCTTCTGCATACAGAAAGACACCAGCCATTGACTTTGGCTTTTTGTGTTTGATTAAGAAAACAGCTCTGCTCTTGACAGCAGGACTTTGTCAGCAAGTCTTGTCTTTTACAGATACTTAATTAACAGAAATTAAGTGGTATTTCCATTTTGTAAAATGCAGATCACTTTTAACTTTTATTTCAGGTGCGGCTGTCATTTGAGACCTTTGCCAGCGATGCTGCAAGGGCACTGGCACGCCTTGAGGATCTCCAGGACACCTTGTCCCAGCGTGATCTCCCACGGGACCTGGAGGGGGCCCGAAGGCTCATGGAAGAACATGCAGCGCTTAAGAAAAGGGCCACTAAAGCATCTGTGGAGGAGCTGGACACACAGGGACGCAGGCTACTACAAAGGCTACAGTCACAAACTGCAGGAAGTGGAAGTAGCAGTGAAAGTGGTTATGGTAACCGCTCTGGTGGAGCTAGTGGAGATTCCAACGACCATCATCACGGGTTCCATACGCATGCAGACGCACACAACCTAGTAGCTAAAGTAACAGGTTTGTTGGATAAGCTGCATGGGACTCGACAAAATCTGCAGCAGCTGTGGCACATGAGGAAGCTGAAGCTGGACCAGTGTTTCCAGCTGCGTCTGTTCGAACAGGACGCAGAGAAGGTCAGAGTGCTATTCATTCTATTCTCCATGATATTCACATGATGATTGAAACCATGTTGAGGATAAGGTTAATTGGTTCCTCACTGCCTCCTAATGTTCTTGCCCCTTGGTGATTCTGTTTTGTTTTTTTGTTCATTTTCTTTTTTATTGGTTTTTCAAAAGGAAACATACACACGTACAAAGACAATGAAGTGTACAACATACATCAAAATATCACAGCAAACTACACCGAACTACACCTAAGACAGGAAAAGAACAGGCAACAAGGACAAAGTAAATATAACAGACAGCATTTTATTTAGTATCGTGCATATTTAACATGATATATATCATGTATCAAATATATCAGATTTTATGAACTAAATTCTGCCTCAGATTATACTGTACATTTCATAAAGAACATCACATTATATTATAGTTGGAAAGGCTGCAACTCTTTAGTACATCAGTATACTGTAGTATATATTTCATGTAGATACTTCTATATAGGTATGTGCCACTGTGCAGTTTATTTCAGGTATTTCAGGCCACATAAGAGCTAATGTACCGCGTCTTAGCTGGGTATTTGAAAACACCAACTTTCATCCCCATGTAGGAAAACTTAACTGTATATGTATATAGTGGTAAAAGCTTAACAGACAAGGTGCATTGGAGGACTTGAACTACTGATAGAAGGTTGATAGAAGGTTAATGTACAATATTCTAATAAATATATATATTTGTTTTATTTCTTTATTATTTATTTATGTACTCAAGCTATTTTATATCTCAAATATTATGATTGTGTGTGGAAGCAGAGAATAAATTAATGTGTGTGAGTGTGTGCCTGCATGTCGTCAGTTTTTCAGGAGAGTGTGATGTTGCGTGTCTAGAGCTGGGAAATGTAGCTATATGCACTGTGCAGAGCTGGAGGCTTGCTGTGGAAAGCAGCGATTAAACACACCTTTTCCAGCCACCAAACATGTAAAGAAGAGAACATAAAAAGAACACACTGACATATAAATGAAGGGTAAAGCTCAGTGGACACTATACACACACACACACACACACACACACACACACACACACAGAGCTTGTTCTTTTGTTCCTACTTAATATAGAGGAGCTTGAAGATAACTTGCCTCTAGAACAGTTCCTCTCTTATTCTCACTGCCGTTGTTGACTAAAGATGAGATGGAGAGACCCTTTTCATTTGAAGTGCATTCTGTGAAACTAACTGCATTTTCTTCTACTCTTCTGTGTAGATGTTCGACTGGATCATGCACAACAAGGGGCTTTTTCTCACCAGTTACACAGAGATCGGAGGGAACCACCAGCATGCCGTTGAGCTGCAGACCCAGCACAACCACTTTGCTATGAACTGCATGGTAAGATGTTGTCTTTGTCTCTCTTGTGCACATGGACAGAAACACGCTCGACACATGGGCAATGTGGTCACAAGTTATCATCATTCCTGTCATTGACAGTAACAAGCTAAGGCCTCCCACCCCTGCCACCACACACACAAACATGCACCTCTTCTTTTTCACAGCCTTTATCCCAGACCATCCTCTCCCTTAGGCTGTGACTTGCTGTAGACTGGTATTTTCTGTCCTGCTACTTTTTCTCTCTTATATTATTCAGCTGTTTTCCACTCTGCCTCAATTCTGCCCCCTCTGTCATGTCACAGTGCTGTTCCCATAATTGACCCATATTGCCTCCCTGCCCCTCCCATAGCTGTGTGCTGCCCTCTGCTGCTATGCTCCACAACCCTCCCTGCCCTCCCGTACCTTACTGTAGTCTGTCGAGGTCTGCTGCTTACTAATAAGTGTAACTGAGGACATTATACTATATCAACTCTGTTGTCCTACGGTGCTCTGCTCTGCTAGCTCTTTTAATCCCTCATGGTATCAATCCCCGACCCTTCCTTCCTGTTTGTGTTTCTCCCACCACAAACCATACACTGCCCTATATTTTCAATTTGTTGTCACATTTTAGTTTTTTTATGAATTCATCAAGGACAGTCACATAGCATTGTAAATGCTACAAAACTATCAAACAGGAAAATAACTAAACATGTTCAGTCCATTACCTCCTAAACTGACAAAAACAACCCAACCCTTACACAGGAAAATGTGGTAAATCACAAACACTTCGCTTTCACCATCATACAGTAACTATTGTTTGTGTGACAAAGGTTTAGCCAAGAGAGAGCAGAGCCCATGGCCTAAATTCTCCCACTTACAGTGTCACAAATCACTGGTGTTAGGAACCATGTTCAACAATGAGTGGTGTCAACATGGGGGCCCAGGGGGCAGCTCCAGTGACCACCCAAAGCCAGTTGTGTCAACACCGGGTCGAGATGAACCAGTAACCCCTGAGACAACAGTAGTAGAAAAGACAGATGGACATGCTGTATAAACTCACACATATATATTCAGAGCACTGTATACACACACACACACACACACAAACACACAGTCGGGTACACTCAGAGAGTGACAACTGCCCCTCCACCCATTCTTCCACAGGAAGCAGTGCTTTCCTTTTCCTGTTGCCTGCATGGTTGAATGGAAATTCATAGAGTTAGTGTGCGTCATGTGTGTTTATATGCGTTCATGTAGCGATACTGCCTGTGTTCTCTTGTTTCTTTGTGTGTATATGTGAACATTTATGGGAGAGGTGAAACAACACCACACTATCTGTACACAGGTTGGCCAGTTTCCACGGATGCCAAACACTAGCATTGCTAGTTTTAAAAAATGTGTTGCTGCATCAGCATTGCTTTTGCAATATTGTATTAGTGATCATTGCTACAGAAATTCATATTGTCAACTTTTACGTCAAGATTTAAACCAAATGGTAATGGTGACTTATGCAATTATGTAAGTGGTTATGTGTCATGCACAATACAATAGATTGTATTTTACTGATATTTAGAAAAAAATAAAGAAAAATTCTCACACACTTATGTAAAGATTGATAACTCGATTCAAGATTTAAGATAATTTATAAGTGGACCTTAAACTGCTCTATATAAAGTTGGATATGTGTGTATCTCTATATTTATTGTTAAAAAGCAGGATTAAATGGACATAATATATCACACAGGTGCAATAAAACACCACAAAATAACCCTGAAAGCATACTCCAAGAAATAATCAATTCAATTATTATAAAAATGAAATTATAACATGGTCATGGATAGACTATGACCTTATGTGACTTCATCCCAGGTCATGTCTGCTCTCGGTCAGGTCAAGTTATTTGTGCAATTCCAGGAGGAGATCATGCTGCATCCATCATCTGTCAAGTTCCTGCGACCCAGATGGAATGAATTCCCTTCCATTCGCTAAAGCCAAATAAAGTTGTTAATTAAGATTATGCCAATTTATACTCTTAGCTTTTTCAGACTGTATATATATTGTGTGCACAGGTGGACACAAACACACAGAAACATACACAGACACACAAATCAGCAAATCCTCACCTTGAGTGCTTCATCATTTACTATGATCACGTCGCTCTCAGTTGAACAGTCATGGTCTTCTGTGATGGAAACTTGGTATATATAGCTCAAGAGTTGTATCAGATGGTCTGTAAATAAATAGTTTAGTTTTACAAAACTTTTTTTTGTAATTGGTTGGTGCTGTTTCCTTTGAAGTTTTGTCATTTTATTATTATTTTAATTCTGTTAAGGAGAAATCACTCTGAATTTCCAGTTGTTAATATGAATCGTCTCACCATTTTTCGCTGTCAGTTTCTTGTTTTCCTCCTGTAGTGACTCTACTTTTTTAGTAATGTTCTTAAGAGTCTCAGATAACTTGTCATCTGTTATAAAAAAAAAATATATAAATGTTTCTCAATTTGGACTCTGACAGAGGCTAAGTACAATGCACATTTACATACTCAATTCATGCAGGCACACAATATACAATATATAACCATTTATCACCCACTGTTCCACACGTGGGGCACAAGGACTAAGCAGAGCATTCACAGACTGCTAGTACTATGAAAAGTTACAGGAATATGAGCATGTAATAAATGTACCTATATATGTCTTGCCAGATTGATGACTGATTTTCAAAAAGAAGTCCCTGTAGTACAAATAATTCCTTGCATATTACAAAATTACAAATAATAATCCCCAGTAAATATATAACCAAAACTTTATAAATCTCCTTATTGTCTAAGCAGTCTGGTAGTCCTACAGTGTAATAAATCCTTAATCCTTAATAAACTTTGTGTCCAAAATGCTAAGGGAATAAATAAAATAGTCAATTTGTTATCAATTAAGAGAATATATGCCAAATGAGTGGATGTTAGAGGGTTACACACAAGGGGGACTCAAGACACTACAAGATTACCAGTGGACTAAATCAGTTCCATATGTTAATACAGTGTAGAATGTATGCAGTACACTATTTTCCCCCTGCTGTATCTTTAAGGTTTTGTATTCATAAATGAAAGTCAGACTCACAGTAGAAGCTCAGACCAAGCAACACTCCGATTAACAGAATACACAGCAACACCAGACACACCGTAGCATACCTGGAAAAAACTAACCAGAAGATAATAAACAGTTACTGTAATTTACCATTATGATATGCTAGTTTTTTGTGTGTCTGCATTATATTATATTATATTATTTTATTTGAATTACAGTATGTACCTTACCTAATCTGGGTGGTTGCTTCGTTCCTGGTCCTCTGGTTGCCTTTACGGGAAGGCGTCTAATAGTTATGTATCTTTCGGGTAGAGGGTGAATGCGAGATTGTGCTGTGTTTGGGTATGGGGTGTTTTGCAGTGCTCTTCTAGCAGCACTCTTCCCACTCTTCTCACTTCTCAGCTCTTCTTTCTTATGTTCTCTTGAATCAGGGCCTGATTCAAGTCCTCCTGAACCTTTTTGTCTTCTTAAATCATGACCAGGTGTATCTCCGTTTTCATAAGTATCGTCCTGTTCCGACCATTTGTCTGCATCCATTGTCATGTATTCATCACCAGCACTCTCTGCTTCTACAGCCTCCGCCATTGTGGAATAGTGTCTCTGTTTGTATGTGACTATGTTAGGTATGCATAAACTCCTTTGCTGTTGATACTTATGACTTTGCAGGAAGGGCTTTATTTTAGTGGGAGGGACATCATGAGACTGCCTCTCATCAATCTCAATTTATTACAAACTTGTGTTTGTATAATATTGAACACTGCGTTGTCAAAGTTGGTATTGTTGGTTTTAATACTTTCCAAAAAAATTCTGAAAATGTTTTCCTGCTGGTGATGCTAAAAAGATC